CCCCCCCCCCCCCCTCTCTCTCCGTGTGTGGAAAGATACTCTGATCCCTCTGCAAACTTAATGCAAAACTTCCCCTTTTCACTAACTTTAGTCGATAGCTTCATCCCCCAAAACACTGTTTACCTCCTCTTTTCCTGTAATCTTTCTTTACTAGTTGTAGTAGTCACTGTCTGGCTATGTGATTCTTTCAACTTCTGCGTTCTTTTTTTTTCATTCTTTATCAAACCCTAGAGGCATCCTATTAAAAGCCTATTCCTTCCTCTTTCTCTCTCAACTCTCAAGTCTCAACACAGCCATGCAAATCATAAGGCACTCATGATATAATCACAACTCAAGCCTATCACTTACTGCTCTCCATCTCTAATTCTCCAAGGTGCTGATTATTTTCCTCATTTGTCTCACAACTTCTTCCTATCTCTCAAAACCATCTCTCTCTTTCTCTCTCTCTCATTTCTTGTGATCTTTGATCCATTTTATCTCCCCCATTTCCATGTTCCTAATCGCAACCCTAATGAGAAGTAAATCTTTATCTTTTCCTGATCTTTCCTTACAGATCAGCCCACCATCCATTCCAGAGTATGAGTTTAAAGAAGTGGTAAATCATGGACTGATGAGAAAATCATACTACAGTGACCGGAGCCCCACAACTGATTCCAGTAGCAGCGGGGGAAGCGATTTAAGCCATGAAAATGGATTGTTCCAGCTCGAGAGAACCTTCAATCAAGCTCATGTGGAGCCCAAGTTGAGCCTAGGTTTTGAAATGACAGCTTTGAATCCTGCACCTTCAGAGCTACCCACACACCTTCATCATCACCACCACCACCATTACCAACCTCATATTTATGGCCACGAGTTCAAAAGAAGTCCAAGAATGATCACTGGAGTGAAGAGGAGTGTTAGAACTCCAAGAATGAGATGGACATCAATTCTTCATGCCCATTTTGTTCACGCAGTTCATCTCCTCGGCGGCCATGAAAGTATGTCTAATAAAATCAAAATTATTCTCACATTGGTTTAACATTCTTGTTTAACTCGATTCTATTTTATACAATATGACCCCGCAATAGCGAGAGTCTCATGCACCGATTATGCCCTTATATTGATTATGATTATCTATCTGGTTCATATTTCATAATGGTGATAGATGCTATTTTGTTGACGATTTGTCACAGGAGCAACACCAAAATCGGTTCTAGAGTTGATGAATGTGAAAGATCTAACCCTAGCTCATGTGAAGAGTCACTTGCAGGTCGGTTTACAGTGTACAATCACTGCTGTTTTGAAATTGTGTATAGAAAATTGATTCTTGTGTTTCAGATTTTCATGGTTGTTTTCGTACTTTTATCATGTCTTATATCTTATATATATACATGCATTGGTGTGCTTCGTGGGCGGTGGGGGTGGAGGAGTACAACGGGGTAAGGACAAAATGGCATCCAGAGGGAGTAATCTTAGCAATTTGGACTTTTCCTAATCCTTTTTTTCTGTGGGCGATCATGCAGATGTATAGAACAGTGAAAAGCACCGGCAGAGGAACAGGTATTAATTCGTATTTAACGAATTAAGTTATATTGAGTTCATATTATATATAAATTATATATATTAGATATATAAATAAGTTATGTCATATACTTTTTTTTATTAATTTCACTTATACTCAATTTATTTATTAATCATATCAAGTCGGGTTCACTCGTTCATTTAAAATGAGTGATTTAAAGAAGATTTAAACGCTCTAATTTTATATTGTGTTAACGAATCATGTCATATTTTTATACTCTTAGTGACAAATCTTTTACCCCTAAAGCTAGATTGACCAAAAAAATATAATAAAAAAGATTAAATTATATATTGCTAAACATATTAATATTTTTTGGAGTAATGTTAAAAATTGGGACTTAAGTTTATTATTTACGAGATATTATGTCAATCAAATAAAATTAATAAATTCAGTTTAAATAATATGTTTTCTCTTTTTATCTCACTTTTACTTATTTTAAATTCAAATTTTATTGCCCCTGGATTTTCATTCCATTTTACTTTCGGCTGAGTATCCCATTTCTTATAAGCTGATCTACTTTCAAACTAAGAGATAATTGTAGGGATTGGACTGACTTGTGAAGTCCATGTGAGTAATTTTCTGGGTGTCTGACAAAGCGAGAGCATTGGCTCAATCATTACAAATGTCACAGGTGAAGGGGAGACAGATTCGGTTTTGAATCAAAGGGCGGTGATAGTAGAAGCTGAGGAAGCACCATCATCACCACTCAATACACTACAAAAAGACCACAGGTGAGTGCATCTGAAGTCATCTCTCTCTCTCTCTCTCTCTCTCTCTCTCTCTCTGTGGTATTCTTATTATACTTACTGAGGTTGCATATCTATCTCTCCATCATTACAACTTGAAAGATATCTGACTCTCATGAAGGCATCTAATCAATGCAGAATGCAGAGATATATACACATATATACACAAATGCATTGCCGGTGGATTTTTTTGGTCCAATAAGGTGTTTTTCTTTGTTAATGATGAAAGATAATGTGATTAATCAAATATTACCATGGTATTGTTAATGTACGAATCTCAAGAAATTCTAAAAGTCAAGGAGTCTGCTGGCATCTCAATGCAGTTTAGGGTACCACTACTTAGACCACTTTATAGCAGCTTAGTTTGTCAACAAATTTATGGGTTTTAGTCACCATATATATATAATTGGCTTGTTATCTCATGGTTTATGCCTTGTGAAACAATAAAAAGGACGTGTTGGATTTGATTAGAGATCGAATCTCAAGTGAGTGGGTTTGGAATTGAGAGGAAAAAAAAAATTTACTCAAATATGAGTAAATCTGATTAATACTCACATCTCTCAAATCCGATTCAGGTTGGATCGAGTTTCATGTGATAGATACAACCACATAGGAAGTAATAATACCATACACAATAACGATAAAACCGATCCTTATAGTGTCATTCCCATGTGTGTGCAATGGCATTGTATAATGAAGAAGTTCTTAAAATGCAGTTTGTTTCATGGACACAATCATATAATTCAGTGTTTTGATCTCTCACTGAACTCCTCGTAAGCAGAGATTCATGGTCATCAATAAAAGAGACATATAATGGTACACAATCAAGTCAAGAAAATGCAGTAGATCATCCTCATTTCGAGGCAAATGACAGTAAGGTATGGTTGACTCAAACATTAATTTAATTAAAATCACTTGAAGAATTAGGATTTTGTCTCCCAAGTTTTTGCACCGGTAGTGTTCGTCATCACAAACAAACGTATTTTAGATAATTTTTTTTTTGGTGGCCGTAATACTATTATAAAAAATTTATTTACTACTGCAATTACTATTTGAGACGGTCTTTGCCACCCCAAATCCTTTTTGAGACTCCATAGTCTTATGGCGAGGCATGCCATCACAATACTTCGCCATAATAATTGGAATCTCAAAAAATTTTTGTAACGGTAATAGTCTGTCTCAAATAGTATTTGCGATAACTAATAAATTTTTTATAATAGTACTATCGTCACAAAGAACTTTCTTTTTTTTTCAAAACACACTTTTTTGTGACGGTGAACACTGCTATCACAAAAAACTTATCTCAAAAAATCCTAATTTTTGTAGTGAATCTATGCACATTTACTCATTTTTTTTGATGAATAGTTTGAGTTCTTTGAACTTTGTAGGTGGATGGACATGAAGTTTCCCTCCAAGTGCCTGAAAATGAGGGGAAGTTAGATAACAACTCCTTGTCATCATCTTCTGATATGTTACTAAATCTAGAGTTCACCCTAGGAAGACCAAGTTGGCAAAGGCACTTTGATGGATCAAATGCATTCAAATTACGTTCTCTGTGATCATGAACAAAACATGTAATATGTATTTACATTGTCATGTTCTTTGTATTTTATTAGAAATGTGGAAAGTGAAATGGAAAAGAAGGTAGAGGCTATGGTATTTCCATTGGATAAATCTTCCTAAAGAAAATAGAAGCTCATAGTTTAACGCTAAGTTATGATTCTATTTGGATAACCCGAAAAAAATTCTAATTGCGTATTCTCCGAAATTGTGGTTATAAGTTATACTTGAGAGACTTATAATCAACATGAAATATGATTGCTTAGGCACTAAAAGAAGTATGAGTAACAAATTCATATTCCAATGATACTTGCATAGTTTGTGACTTTCGTAGCAAAGATGCCCAAATGCATGCAACTAATTTTCACCAAAACACCTCTTTTTAATAAAAAAAAAATATTATTTAAACAACTGATCAGATATACCACACAATTCAATATCCATTTGAATAGGAGAATTTATCTTAGGTAACAACTTTTGTCATTACGAAACCCGTTTTATCAGTGTGATAAAACATACACTAAAAATACCTCTTAATCCCCCCTGCTAAGTGATCGAGTTTAGTTTGAATTTACTGTAAAAATTTCTCCCACTCCATATTGACTTCAAAGAAAGATAAGATTAGGAATTTTGCCGGTTTTGGAGCTTACTTTATTATTAAGGGGAAATAACTTTTTTATAAATTCAAACCAAACAATAGCAAGAGGCTTCGATCTAGCTGAAAAATGTAATTTTATATTCTAAGATGTTTCATAGCCTTGCCTATAAGGTAGTGTATATAACGCGCTACATATAGAAATATATAGCCAGACACATTTTAAGAATGTCACCTTTGATTTAACAATTTTCATAAACCATTGAAATCTTAAAAAACAAATAATTTGATGCAAAAATATCAAAAAATAAAATAAAATAAATATCAACATTGTTGGGCTTGATAAGTTTGGTTATAAACTTAGATGGATCACATACATGAAAGGGCCTAAAAAAAAAAAAAAAACCTAAACAAACTATAAGATTAAAATTTGTGTTGTGTGACAAAATATACTTGGTCCTATTATACCACCCCTATGCCATGTAACCATTAGACAATCAATTGAATAAGGACGTGCCCAAGTTCAATCTCATTAACATTCTCAATAATTAGAGACTTAATTTAATATAATTATTAGATTAATTATAAATTTTGATATTAGACGTAATTCACTTTTAGTCTAACTATTATAATTGATTAGGTCTCTCAATGTGGCTAACTATTATAATTGCTAACTTTTAGTCTTACTATTATAATTGTTACAAGGTATCTATGTTTGTACCGACAATTCTTTCAAATTTAACGACTAAAACAACGACTTAAGCTAAGTTAGAGAATATTCTTGATAAATATGAGTGATTGACCTATAGGTAATGTGGAAAAGAATTAAATTTAGGACCTCTAAGTTATCAAAGTCATTCTCAACTATTGAACTACCCCTAAATATTATCAATTTGATAGTTATGATGAATTAAATTAATAAATAAAATCAACAAATTCAGTTTAAATAACATTTTTTTCGTACTCTACGATAACCTCTAGTTTGTATAGTTAACAAATCATGGTATAGTGTTTTATGAGAAAATGCTTCACACATAGAATTTCTAACAAAAATCATAACTATAATCATATGACTATTTATACAGATGAAAAGAAAAAAAAGTTATTAAATTATAGATCATTCTTTTCAGATTTTATCCATAAAATTTATAAGTAGCATGGCTTATATTACATTAAATTTTCAAAGTATCCAACCCAAGCTTCTCTCTCATATCAAACTCATGGGATTAGCTCACACGTGGCACTTACTAGACCGTTGATTTCAACATCAGCATCGTGGGGCCCATCACAGTGCACGATCAATACTTCGCCGACGGTATAGAATCCCACGACACGTCCCGTTGCTCCATAACAGCCATCTGATGCAAATCCGGCGACATCTCCGACACACTCCACACCTTCACCGACTTATCAAGACTGCCGCTGTACACAACCCACCGTTGTTCGCCGGACGACGTCGATTCTCTGTCCTCCTCTACCGCCAAACACTTCACCGGTCCGGTGTGGCCGGTCAACACCGAAAGGCAAGTATGAACCGTCCCCTCCCTCCTCCACACACATATAGTTTTATCAGCGGAGCCGCTGAATATCAGATTTCCGGCGGCGGCGAGGCACAAAACCGCCAATTTGTGCCCCTTCAGAACACCTCCATGGGACAACTGCTTCTCTCGTTCCCAGAAATTCACAAGCCCATCAGAGGAGCCACAGTAAACCACCGAACCGGACTTACTGACGGCGAGAGCAGTGACGGCACATTCTTGGCTCAGAAGTGTCTGCATGAAAGTGTGTTTAATAACTTTACCCTCTCCCTCCCTTCTCCAAACTTTCACGGTTCCATCGGCGGAGCCGGTGAAGACCATGCCGTCGACGCTGACGACGACGGAATTAACGGCGTCATCGTGGGCTTTGACCGATTCGACACATCTCGAGTTATCAACCTTCCAGACTTTGAATGTTCTATCCCACGAAGCTGAGTACAAAAGTCCTCGTTCTTCATTAATGCTCAAACAAGAAATGGCATCGCTGTGTTTGATCCAAAGAGCTTTGCGATTACGTTTAACTTCGACGTAATTGCTTGGTTTGATTGAAGCTTTCAATATGTCCATGAATGTGGGTAAAGTACCAGCTCGTTTGTGGACATTAGGGTTCTTGGGATTAACCTTCCAGACTCGAACCTTACCGTCCTGATGACCGGTGAAAATCTTTGCGCCGGAGATTATAATGGCTTTAACTAATCCACTATTCGATTTGAACGCTGAAAATTCTTTCAAGTTCTTCCAAACACGTATGTTCTTGCTGTCCGACCCAGTGTACAAAATACCGTCCTTCGCGGCCAGAGAGTAAATGTGACCTTCCTCACGAACAATAGATCCGGTGAGGCCATTCTGAGGGAGGTTTTTAATGTTCTCTTCGAAGTTCGACCATGGAGATTTGGTGAAGGGTGAAGTTTGGTTCCATGGCGACATCATCATTGGAGAGCCCTCGCCGCTCGGGCGACTTGGGTCATACGCCGAGAAGCTACTGTTTCGGTTGGCATAATCTTCATAGTTGGCCATTGAAGAAACGTTGGGATCAGAATGCATTATATTTCCAAACTTTCAAGGTAAACTGTTCGTCTCTGTAAACATTGTTGCCTTTATCATTCCAATTCTACCATAAGTATGTGACTATCTAACCTTCAAATTGAAACAATGGACGAATATACAGAAATCAAGAGAAGAAATAGGTGAGAAAGAGAGAGAGGGAGATTTTGTGGGGGAATAGAAAAGGAATAAAGGCGGGAGAGGAGAGAGAAGGTGTGTATATAAATAGGAAAGAAAGGAGCTGTAGAAAAGTATGGGTCATGAGATGATGACACGTGTGAGGACGAGACTTAATCGTTGCGTGAACAGAGAATTTTATGGTCCGGATAATCCGGGTCTGACGATAATAATGTTCTGTTCGTTTGATTTGGTAGAGGATGGGTGTTCATTTGTGTGGTGTCTGGTAAAGTACTCTATTTTAGGAAAACTTGACCCGCGTTAAGATATGTCATATGGGTGCTCCGTTAACGAATCCGGATCCTATCAACTGCAATCTCAACGGGTTTGGTCACTATCGGCGATAAATTACGTTGGAGTAACGTCCTCGATCATCAAAGACAAAGGCGAACATAAATGGTTGAGAAGTCGGTCCGATCAAAGGCTTCTATATGCGATCCTGGTTCAACGGCCGCCTGCTAAAATACAAGCTACAACAATCGCATTATAGGACGCTAGTGGTTCCATCGCAGATGGAACTTATTAATGCTATACACCACAGGTGTCGCAACCTCAATGCCCCAATAACAAGGGCTCTGACCCTCACCCACAATAATTTTCTTAATGAAACAAAATGAACAGAGAGAGAAGATAAAACAAACAAAACCTTATGGGCTTTGGGTTCCGCCATCAACCACCTACTCAAGTGCCCCATGCTGAACTGACATGTGCGAAGCAACTTAGAGTTAGTTCGATGAATTTGAATATGTTTATATTCGATTTAATTATCATCGACTCGGTTCTTTATGAAGTTCGATTGTTGAGTTTAGATTATTACTTAACATAACACAAAGTGTCATTAGTAGGGTCCGACTCTTTTGTTGTACAGTAGAGGATACTTTTCCCAAAACGAAGACGCCGTTAGCACCTTTGCTGTAGAATAGAGGAGCTGTGCTCCACTGGTGGTTTGCCTGTCGCTTTAATATAGGTTTGACTGCCTTGAGATTTTGCCACCAGAAGCTCCAGAAACTCATATAGGTCTAGGACCACCACCCCTGTTTGTAGAGCCATATTGCTGCATTATTGTATGTGATGATTTAAAGCAAATCACAACACAGACTAAGATGCTCTTGTTGAATCTATAACTAGAAACTCTTCCATTTGTAGGTGAATTTGGGTGTCCATCATTGCTCTGCTTTCTGAGGTAACTAGCATGTGGATGTGGGCTCATACCTTTGGATCTTTTATAGGACACTTCGTTCAGATTGCCTATGTTGGGAATCAAATTATAGACATCCTGGGCAGCTAACATCAAGAAATCTTCTGTATCTTGTGATTTGATGTTCAATTATATAAACAAAATGGATCATTTAGAAATTTAGAGAAGAGACCAATTATTATTATTTATTTTTTAAAGTTCAACAGTCAGCGGTGTTTGGGTTAATTTATGCACATATCGACTAATTCCCTTCCCGATTCAATCAAAGGCAGACTATCTACGTCAGAAATAAAGTACATTCATGAGGAAAAATTCTCTCATTACCAGTCTCTAAAAAATTATTTAGATTCGAACTCTAAACGTCTGAATTTACAATTCATCCCTGATCAATTGTTAATAATTTAAAATTTCACCTTGGTCCTTATAAAAGTAGTTATTTGTTGTCATGGTTTTTAGGTAACCCGGATTAAGTACTAAAAATCATCAAGATAAGTGGTCAAGCATTGAGAAACTTATTGATATAATGGACTTATTTTCTTATGTGATCAATGCAAGTTCACGTAACTTGCAGCTTCTACTTACTTTTTTTGCTTGGTTGGGGAAAATGAAGAAGGCAACATTTAGTCTATGATTTCCATATGGTCCTCAATGTTGATGATATTCATTGATTTTTATGGGTTTTTTCAATCTATTTCTCTCTTCCATGTACAATGAAAAGGTGATAGAGTTGTTACTAATTCCAATCCAAAAATCGTTCATCAAATTAGAGATAAGGCTCCCTATCATTTACTCTCGTATAGGCGAGATTCTTATGCAATATGTCCTTATTTTTTTTTTTTCTTTTTATTTTTTCTGTAGCATTGTGCTTCTTTGTGCGTTAAGCTATATTATTCTGAGTAGCAGGTAACAATACATGAAATTTCTTTTCTCTTCCTTCATTGAACACAACGTTTCTTCAACGAAGAAAAGAGATCTCCACATGGAGTGGACAACTGAGGAAGTCAATTTCACAATCAAATAAACAATTATATAAGGAAATTTACTGTAAATATAACAAAAAATCAAAATCAAAATCCTCGCGTACCGAAAAAAATAATAATAAATCGGGTTAGTATTATCATGTTATTTGTTTGGTAAGATAAGTTAGATGGTTTGATATTACTTCGACGCAATCTTTTTTGCTATATTAGTTCGTGACAGGAACCCTCACAACAACTTTATAGCAACATTTTTTAGGCAGTTTCCTTTTCTTTTCTTTTTTTTTTTTTTTCCAATTCAGAAGAATTATTGGGGAGCTCAACAATATCATCCTGGAAAAACAGGACAAATTGGGTCTCTCCAAAAGAAACCAAACATATTCAGGTGCATGACTTTTCCAAAACTTTAGAAATTTTTTTGAATTTCTGGTATTCTAAAAAGTTCAACTTGCGTAGGCTAACTCGAATTTAAGCCAAGTCCAACCATAAAAAAACAAGGTTTGAGTTAAAATTTTTAATACTTGAGTTGGATTTAGGCAAAAATTTTTTAACTCAAATTAAATTTGAGCAAACCTCGAATTGAGGCCTCAAGTTGTCGGGTTCAACCTGAATATTAAAATTGGATTGAAAATGAATATATATAAATATATTTAACTATGATTAGTATTTATTTTCATTCTTTATAGTCCAGACTTTCACTTCAATTCAAGTTTTTACCACTACATCTTCATCACTCTAAGATTCCTCTTTCGCTCATCATTCTTCTTTCTCTTAGCCTCCCTCTCTCAATCGTCACTTGTTTGAGTCGTCTTATACTCTCAGCATCCCTCTCTCATTTGTCACTCCTCCTTCTCTTTTTATCTGCGTCTCGCCTTTTTTATCAAATCACTTGAAAAAATCAGATCTACATTTGAAAAAATCAAATCTATACTTCAAAAAATCAATCCAAATTAAGTAACAGAAGCCAACCCATTTTTAACCCAAAATCAGTCCGAATTAAGTAACCTGAGTCCGTCCGAATTAAACTCGGACAGTACTTGGGATGAAGTAGAGTTAAGGTTAGGGTTAAAAATTATATATCTACGGTTGGGTTTGGGTTGACCTCTCAACTCGCCTAAGTTGCATCCCTAAGTATTCTATAAGGACTTAAATGTGGTACCCAAAAAAAAATTGATATCATCATGACAAATTTATTACTTGAATATGTGTTTTTATAAATTTTGCAGATTATTTAATAAAAAATTTTTTACCAATTTTGTGGGTGGTCTACTATTTTGTGGGTATTTTAATCGCTATTGTGGTTACTGTTCGGACTACTTTTGTGGTTTTTGCGATTGATCCTAACATTTTTAGGATTGATTGCAGGTACCACAAAAATAATTATCAAGACAATGATAAAAACTAATAAAAATTATAGAAATAGTTAGAAAAATATTTGAAAATTCACAAAGTTTTGGCAAAGCCACTCAGATCAAAGGAGACACGGGCCACAGATAGTCCATTAAGCAGACCAACTCACACTTTGAATCGATGATCAGTTGAGCCACTGGGCTGTGGACTCAGCCCATTGATCGCTGGCTTAACACCAAGGCTTAGCGTGGCAATCAAAAGTCTCCAGTCGGTATTACCTGACTTGCGAATTTTCAACTACCAAGCTGGTAGCCTAATTAGTTTTAGGGCGGAAGACTCGTCCTCCTCCGATGATTATAGATTTAAATTAAAATCTACTTGTGTCAGTAGTCTTTGTAAATTAGATATTAATAGAAAGGTTGAATGCTCATCTTGCCCTTAATAGTGCTATAGTAATAAACTCGGCTATCACAAGTATAAATTATGGTTCAAATCGAACATTATACAGTGGACGAGAACTTTAAAACAACATCCTGAGAGTGCTACGCCTGGTTGCTTCTAACCACTCATCTTTTCAAGCAAAAAAATCTTACAAACTTTTCAAATTACCCAACTACAAAAATTGAGTGAAACTTAAGAAAAAACACACGGAACTATATTCCACAACTACTGCAACAAAATTGGTTTAATTTTTCTCTAGGTCCATCGTGTTTGATGATTTATACATTTTTATTTATTAAAATTTTTAGGTGTATACGAGTTTCAAACATATTTACTAAACTTATATCAATAAATCCCAGTCTCTCAACACAAAAACCAACTTCATCCTACTAGACCAAAAGGGGCATCTTTACCAATTTGGTCATCGTTTCATGTTATCTTTCTGTCTTCAAATGTTGAAAGTATTATTTGACTTAGCTGCTAAATATGTCCCTATGCGATCTCTAATTAGTTTTTCAGCATTATTGTGCTTTTCTGTGGCCCTACTTGCCTTGTCTCTAAGAACTTGCAAGTGTTCACACCCTTCAAATTTGGATGGATGGAATAGAATATGATCCAATAGCTAATCCTCAAAAAATCTTGTCTCTTATTTCGAGCATCATCCATTTTTTATTGTAAATTATTGACGTCGAATTTCTATGATATGATTAAGACGGGCATTTAATATGAGTTTGTGAATTCAACTACATTATTACGATTATGATTCTCACAAAACCATCCAACTATAAAATAACGAGAGAAAAGAACAAGGCGAATTCTCAAAACATGACTTACATTACATTGAACAATAATGTTATGCTGATCAAAATTAGGAACCAAATAAAAAGCTCAAATGACATAGCAATTGCTGATATGACAAGATTAACTACCATGTCAGCAAAATCTTTTCGTCTTCTCTATTTCCCTAACACGCACAAAATGACAAGTCAATTAATCTTGTCATATCAGCAACTGTCATGTCATTTAAGCTCTTTATTTAGTCTTTAATTTTACTCAACATAGAATTACTGTACATTGAAATAGTGTCTATACCTGCCTGCAGGATCTTTAAATGGCTGCCAACAAAAATTACTTAAAAAAAATATAAAAGGCCTCACTCATATCTATCACTCTAAGCCTCCAATCATCTAAAGTCGGCCGTGAATTTAAGGTTAATTCCAAGGAGTAGTCAAGTGTTGACGGAGATGAGTTATAAACACAAATATTTTAAGTTTAAATTTTGATAATTTTTTTAGAATTATTTTATGAGAGATTTATTTTTCATGAATTCTATAGTCTCAGTGTGAATATTTATCTTAGACAAAATTGAGGAGAAAATTCAACGAGTTCCAAGTAACACCTCTAACCTTGATAGAAACATAAAAAAAAAAAAAGAATTTAAGGTGGGCATGGTGAAATGGCAGAAGCAGCATGGCTGGTACATTGCCGTGTATGACACTCCAAATTGGTCAGCATTGAATATACATACCGAGATAGCAAGACGATCACGAGTGCTTTGTTATGCAGTTCAAAGGGTATGGCCCCACATTTACACCCACCGTTACGACTTCATTTCTCTGATAACAAATAGCTTAGTTTCATGGATTGACTTATAAAATCTCTCAACATTATCAAACCCCAAAGACAGTTATAAACAAGGTTTATCCTCTTCACATAGTAGAAAAATGGGCAAGAAAAAGAGAATTTAGGGATCGTAATCATTTTTCCACGTCAAATGTAGGTTACGAGTTGAAAAAATTTGTATACATGAATGCAATTGAGATTTATTGGTTTCAGTTTTTGGATTAAGATTGATTTTAAAATTATATATTTCTCATTCTCGTAGAAAATGGTATTAGAGTACTACGACTTAAGGTTCATTGTGGTGTGTCACGGGGAAGGATTGTTAAAGTAACGGTGAATGAATGGTGATTAAATTTTTCGATGAGAATGGATTTTGTTGTCTTTTGGAGCTTTGGATGTGTCGATGATCTCACTAACTAATTGGCATTCTATGTAGGGAATTTTTTGAGTTGTTGATGTACAAGTATTTGTACTCTTGCATATATTTGATGTTGTAGAGAGATTCAGAGTGAATAAACTTGTGGGTTACATAATTGAGATAATAGGTTTGTTTGGAGTGGGCTAACAGCATTAATATTTTTTGGTTTCAAAGGAAAAAGGTTGGTTTGTTTGGACCCGGACTTATTGGGCGACTTTTTTCATCGATTTTTTGGGTAAAAACAGTTTTTTTCAACACCAAGAAAAAACTGAAAAGTGAGGCTGATTCAAATGTTTCCAAAGAAAAGTTGATTTTTTCATAAGCACTCCAAACAGTTCTAAGAATTTTTTTAACTCTAACTTTTTTATTTCACTTTTCAATCTCTATTTCGTACAAAAAAATGTCAACGGCAAACGAGGCAATTGTGTTCTCTTTTGGATGAAATCATATGAAATGTTCTCCAATTAGTAACTATGGAACATTTTTTGAACTAACAATTATAAAATGGTACAATTTTTTTCTCTTTTATTTGTAACGATGAGAATTAGACCTCCATCTTACTTCCATTCCACCAATGATACGATTTGAATCTTGACACGTGCTCATTTAAGTAGTAATCTCACCTTCATCATTGATTGAATCAAGAAACAAGTTATTATAGTTATACATCCCTCTAAATAGTGATATCTACTTGTTTCGGTTCCTCCAAAACACAATTTCAATTTTTCTCAATAATAAATCATCGTTGTATATTTTATCTAATTTTGTATAGTAGGTTTCACTTGAACTCATAGAGGACAATTTAGTAATCTATCATCGAAGATATTTGAGAAAAAAATATACAAATCAACCATACAACTTTACGAGGTCAAAAGTTCAAGTCTCTCTCCTCCTCCCCTTTCCCATAAAAAAAAAAAACACACACACACACACAACCTTAGACTACTGCATGGCAATTAGAGAACAATCAGATATTTGCAAGAAATGGGTCTGGCACCTCCTTTGGACCTCTAAATTAACTTCCTTTCCCTTTACTATTATATCTTATCTTCCATTCTAATGTTGATACATAGTCTCTAGCTTAACATTCAAAGGTTACTTTAGTCAACTACACAAAAAAAAAGTTCAGTTACATGGCCCTCCACTAGTTCGAAAAAAGGACAAAGAGAGGTATACAGGAGGGAAAGTCTCTCCCAAGGTTGATATATTCTTCTATTTCTTTCATTACTCTATTTTATTTTCTGCTTTAATCTATACCAGTCAATATCAAAACCCAAATCATTGGGATTTACCCAATTCTCCAATATGCTTTCAAGTCACAGAGAGAGAGAGAGAGAGAGAGAGAGAGAGAGTCATCCTCATGCCTCTTCCAGTTTCACATCAGAAATTTCATTTCCCATCATGAACTGCTTTGAGATCATGCACTCCAAATTTAGTTAAATAGCAATTCTTTTATCATATTTCTTTCTGCTTTCTTGAAATTAAACTCTATTACTCGCTCATCAGCAAGAAAATCTATACTGCAGAAAGAAAACACTGTTCACAGATTTTGAAAATCTCTCTCTTCATGCCTGCTTCATTGATATAGGCCCTTACCCATCTGTTGATAAGCTCAAACCACACATCCCCCCCCCCC